TTGTTAGAGATTATCCCCCGGGGCGAGCCCGACCCCCGGGCATGTTAGGGCACATATTCCCTTATTAATTAATAAAGAATGATTCTTTCTATCTCGCTTCTCTTCTTTCTACTTCGACTAGACCCCATAAATAAACCTCGTCTAAGTAAACATAAAAAGAAAAGAAGAATAAGAAGCGCTTCCGATAATCAAACCTTCATCATTGCTATCATCATCAAGTTAGTTGATTAGAAGCACATAAAAATAAGACTTCACTTAAGCCATGAAGAAAGTCACGCTTCGCCAATACTGTGAACAAAAAAATAAATCCAAAAAAGAGAGAAAAAGCCCAGAGAAGCCAAAGGCCAAAGAAAAGGGCAAATTACCCGGTAGGAAACCCACTAAGGGGGCTACACAAAAGATAGGGTCAACCCGGTAGGATACCCGAACAACAATAAAGGGTAACATAGGCAAAAGTTAGGGTTACAAATAAAGGTCCGCTAGGATTCCTCCAAAATTTTACAAGAGAGAGAACCTAGACAAAAGATAGGGCCAACACACAGTATCCTAGTTCGAAAACCCAAAGGGCGATCTAGGGAAATCAGCTAGCTATTTAAAAAGCAATGGAAATAAAACTAGAGAGCGCAAATACAAAAAGAAGAAAGAGGAAAAATGTTTGCTCAGACAAAGCTTAAACACCCAGGCTTAACCTTAGCCAGCCATTCTTACAAATTCTTTTATCAATAAAAATCAACCCTCTAAAACACAAACCATTGATTTCTACCCCCTTTGCTTCTTTTCTCTTGACCCTCACGACAATATTCTAATAATTAATCTGGGAATATGGAGGCGTATAGTCAACAAGAGGATTGAAATCCCTAAAGCAAGGAAAAAGGGACACTGCATGACAAAAAGTGCTCTACAAAAAAAAAGAGAAAGAAGAAAAGAAAGAAACTACTCTTCGGTCACAAGAAGTCCGGTATGGTACAACATGTACAAAAGCACAGATCAGGAGGCACTCGGCGCTACAAGACACGTCGGTTAAATCCTTCTGAAATATTAACCAAAGTAGGCATTATAGGACATCAAACATGAAAACATTTGCATGCATAAAATGTTTTTGAACCAGGTCCTATTTCTTATGCAAAAAAAAAAAAAAAAAACCCAAAAATTCGAGACCGCCGTCTGGATATTCCAGACCGCCGTCTCGGTTCCCTTACAAATCGAGACCGCCGTCTCGAGAAACCAGACCGCCGTCTCGACTTAAGCAAAGTTGAGATCGCCGTCTGGGTTATCGAGACCGCCGTCTCGATCTGTTGGCAAAACGAGACCGCCGTCTCGACTTCCCAAACGGCGGTCTCGACCTGAAAAAAAATCCTATATAAAGGGGGCGCACTTGGGGGGTTTCCTCACAACTCTCCAAGCCTCCAAAGCCTCCAACATTCATATTTTGCTCTCCCAAGCCTTCCCCATTCAAAATGTTCAGTAGAAGTGGCTCCAGGAAGAGAAGGGCTACCGCTGGTGCTAGCAGCTCGGCACCACCGCCACCCCCAGACCCTTCTCAACTTCAACCACAACACCAGGCCCGCCTGGACAACCTCAGAAACTACCAGTGGCACTCCTTGCTGACACTGGACTTCAGCATCTTGGCTGAGTTCGGATGGGAGGAAGACGTCCGAGCACACATTGATAGCATCGGGTGGGGTTTTCTGCTACAGCCTCCACCTGTTCATGTGTACCCACAGGCGGTACTCGAGTTTCTGGCCTCGGTCTCCCTCATTGAGATCCCCTCTATGGCCTCAGGCATGCAGCCCACCAAAATGGTCAACTATTTTATGGGTGGGCAATACCACACTACCACTTTGGAGGAATTCAATGTTTCCATTGGATTCATCCGGCCCGAGGCGGCGTTAACTCGGGAGTACCGTGAGGCCATTTGCTCTAGGCCCACCAACCTCACCACTGCTGAGATGTGGCATGAGCTCACTGGAGCCACCACATTGCCTTCATTGATGAGGGGGTCTGCACTCCCCCCACCACTCCGCATCTGCCACAAGCTGCTGGCAGGCACCATTCACGCAAGGAAAGAGAGTCAGGGGAAGATATCCCTCCCTGACCTCTTCGTCCTCTATTGCATGCACCAGAGATGGCGCTGCAATCCCGGGTACTTCCTCCTGAGGGCCCTGAAGGACTTTGGGAGTAGATCCACAGGGGCCATCCTTGTGGCTCCCCTCATCACCCCTCTAGCAGAGAGAATGGGGTGCCCTGGCCGGGAAGAGCTGGCCCGCAATCTGTGACCCGAGCCCATCAACGGGCCAATGCTAGTCAGCATGGGGATGCTGATACGCTGGGGAAGTCAATTTGCTCTGCATCCCACCCTGGACTTTGAGCTGGACCTCCAGGGAATAGTGGCGATGCAGGATACGCCCACGTCTCCCGGCTCCCAGCAGCAGCGGCAGCAGCAGCAGCAACAACCACCACCATACACGGAGGACTTTGCTGGCCTCCACCAACACATGAACGACCTGAGCCAGCAGCTCGGCCAAATGGCGATATGGCAAGAGCAACAGACCCAGTGGCGGCAGGACCAAGACGTTCGCCAACAGGCCTTTCAGGAGGGCCAAAATAAGATCCGCCAAGAGCAGCAGAGGATGCGGCAGGAGTGGGCGACGTTCCAGGAGGATTACAACGATGAAATCCAGGAACAAATCGACTTCCGCTACCACATGTATAAACATTTCCCCCACCGCACTCCTTCTGATGATGATGACTCTTAGGGACTGTACTGTTTGAAAAATCGCTGTAATAAAATTTCCTATAAATAAAATTTTATTTCCCGCATCTTTCGCCTTCTTTTGCAAAAGCCAGCATAACAAAAAAGCTTAAAAAAGAAAAAGGCACATGCTCAATAAAAAGCCAGGATCCAAAATCGCGAGGAAAAAAGAGATAAAACCGCGAGAAAAAGGCAGGATTAAAACAACTACCTTAACCTAACAAAATTCCGACTATCAAGCGAAAGTCGAACAAAATAAAGAAAACCCAATCAACCAGCAAGAGTCGGATTACCACCAAAAGAATAAAAACAAAAAATCCCCAGCACCCAATGGAGCTGGATGAACAACCCACAAAATCCCCGGCGCAGCCCGGATGAACATTCAAGAAACCCCAAAACAACTACAAACACAAAAATCACTCTCCAGGAAGACGGCGCATGGTCAGAATCAGTAAGCCGCCACCATCGCCAAAGGATCAGCTACCGCAAGAAGGGGCATCCAGAGGCACCAAACCAGACGGGGGTTCGTACTCGTCAACCAAAGGATCAGCTACCGCAAGATGGAGCATCCGGAGGTCAAACACCAGATGGGGGTGTAAACTCATCAAGCCTTACAAAAGGGGGCTTACCGGGCGGGGGTTAGTACTCGTCAAACCAGATGGGGGTTCGTACTCATCGGCCGAAGGGGTCAGCCTACCGCGTCGAAGGAGCATCCCGGAAGCGCACAACACAACATTTCCCCAGAAGATCATCCGCTGCAAAGACGGAGTATCTGAAGGGTAACCGGGCAAGAGGGTCAACTCCTTTACCCTCCAGTCGATCGCCTCGGCACAAAAGGCCAGCAGTCGACTGGTCGGGTAAAGGGGGGGCAGCTGTAGACCCCAAATCTTGCCCGGCCTCAGAATAAAGTCAGAAAGCTTCCTATTTGAAGACGGCCGAAGCCTAACAAGCCACTAGGAGAGACTATTAGGCTCCCGTACCAAGATAGGAAGGTTTTTTGGCCCGAAAATAAAGTTTCTCGCCCTGAAGGGACGAGACCGCCGTCTGGAAGGACCAGACTGCCGTCTCGTCTCAGCGCCAGGACGAGACCGCCGTCTCGATTTTCCAGACGGCGGTCTCGATTCCTGCAAAGGTCGAGACGGCGGTCTGGATTTTCCAGACGGCGGTCTCGATTCCCGCCTAGTCGAGACGGCGGTCTGGATTTCCCAGACGGCGGTCTGGACTTTCCAGACGGTGGTCTCGACCTTGTCAGAGGAGATGGCGTTCTCGACCTGTCAGGCGCGAAAAACTATAAATAGGGGCTCTCCCCCTCTCATTTCCACACAGAATCAATAGCTCTCCCTTCTCTCTAGACTTTCTCTCTCTAAGAATCCCTCCGAGGCATTTCCGGAGTTTCTGAGTGTCTTTAGGCATAAACTGAGCGTTCTAAATCTTCTTTAGAATCCCTTCGAGGCATTTCCGGAGTTTCTGAGAGTTGTAGAGTGAAGGGTTGTCAAAACGCACCCTCTCTTTTTGAGTATAAAAGCTTGCTTTGGAGGTGCATATTCTCCCTCTCTATTTTTATTACTACCATTTAAATTACGCAATAGAAACTAGGGCCATGTAGTCATAAACTTAAATTCCACGTAATAAAAGGGTAAAAGCGCATTTTTCCGGTTTAATTATTCAAAGTAGTCAGCCTATCATAGGGAACCCGAAAGGGGCGTCGTAAAGGAACTAACACTTCCTTTACACGTAACTAACTCCCTTACCCAACTCTGGTTCTAATGACCAAAGTTGGTTTTCGAAAACCAACGCCTTTTTTAAAACCCCTTTTCCGATGTTTACGGTAAAAATATCGGTGGCGACTCCATAGAACCCAAAACAAATAAGTCCTTGGGTTAGCCCGGTTATCGGACAACCCAAGGACACTTTTGAAAACCTCGCCCCTGGGTTAGCCCAGTTATCGGACAACCTAAAGGCGTTGTAACCATCAATAAAAAACGTGAAAATCAAAGAGGGTCGAAAAACCATCGCGTCGCTCCGACCGCCCCTTTTTGGGAGGCGGCGACATACATTAATAGGGAATCCCCATAAAAAAATTGTTAAAAACTTAAGTGAGATAAAATCCACATTAAATTAAAAAAATAAAGTTAAATAATTTATATTTTAAGAATTTGGATGGATGATATAATAACCAATGTCAGTCTGATTATTTGAGAGAAAAAGTGTTTTGAGGAAAAATGTTGATGAGTACTTTTGTACAAAGTGACGAGTGCATGGGGTGCGAAGAATTGGGATGTGAGTTTCGTGGAAGACATTTACGTGGAAAGGAAAGTGGGCGGGCCGTGGTTAGGTTTTGGTGGTTGGGTGCCTCCGTTTGATCCTGTTAAGTTTTTAACATAAAATCAATTTGATATGTGGAGTAGTATATAAACCATATCAAATATAAGATACGCGATAAGATACGCGATAAGGGACTCAGCAACTACAATGTTTTATTCTGTGATTCCAGTAATGCATTTTGTTATTATGTAACATTCCAATTCAACTATCTGGCAAAATTTTTTAAATAAAAAAATTCAGAAGTTTTTTATACATCAAACCTTAATTTTTCTAAAACTTTAAGATTATTAAATTCGGTAATTTTTCGAATTCACTGATATAGAATCTTAATAAATATTGTTTTTATATATTTTGGATTGTTTTTAAGCTCAAATTTAAAATGTCATACGTAAGAATTCTTCTATATGAATTTTTCTCAAATCTATCAATTTTGAATTATTGGTTAGTAGCACTGTTCAAACATAACCCATGTAAACTTGGATTTTAAGTGAAATTTTTTTTGAGAAATACCTCTCATTTAGCTCGGCGCTAAATATTCATCTCAATATGCTATTAGACTGGACTAATTGGGTCATAATTGCCTTTAATTTCTTCAATAAAAATTACGTTTTGTATTTTTTTTTACTGATTAAACTATTTTTTTTGAGCCATATTTACAATTGAATTATTTAGAACGATTTTTAAATTACTTTCCAAGATGATATTGAAAGATTTTGAATACTCTTGTTAAAAACATAACTAAAATACATGAATACTACTAACTCTCTCATTCAATTATAATCATTATATGTAATAAAAAATATTTATTCTATTTAAATTTCATATATAATAATTTATAATTGTTTAAAATTATAAGTTTCTATATTAACAATATTAATTTTTTTTACAAAAGTTAAATTTTAAAAAAATGATATATAAAATAATAAAAAAGCTAATATTTTATATATACCATAATTTTTAATTATTTCAATGGTTATGTAGCATAAAAAAATTAACTAAAGCACAAGGTTATTGTCAACCAAATTATTTGTTATACACTTTAATTAAAAAACTATTGGTTTATATGTTACCATTTGAGAAGGGGAATTATTGGGCTGGACCGAGAAGCATGAAGAAGCTCGTGTGGAGCTTCAGTACAAGAACGAAGATACGAACTTGTTTCAGAAGATTCCAAAGACTACGAGAAAGATTCAGCAATTGAAGTGCTGAAGCTATGGACGCGGATTCCAATAATCGTGAAAATAGTGATTCTACCTTTGTTTGGGATGACAAATCACAGCTTTACTTCCACGCTAGGTTTTCCTTTCGCCCCCAATTTCCTACAATATTTCTCATCAATGAATGAATGAAAGATTATTCTGTTTGCTCTTAATGCTTGACACCGCCATGTTTTTAAATATTGATTGAACGGGAATTGCTAGAAGCTATGGTTATTCATTCATTCAGTTTAATTTGTAGTATTTCGTATCTTCGGAACATTAAAATTTCATCATGTATGCTTTATATCTGCTGAGCCTCTTAAAATATTGCGTGACTCCGAAGCTATCATGTTATTCAAATTAGCGTTTTTTTTTTCTACTTTTCTGTTTTAATACCATAATGATTGATGTTGATAGAATGGAAACAGAATGTTAAGCTTCTACCATTCTGTTTGATATGAATATGAATGGATTCATTTGTTCGCTCTTATGTTTGGTATGTTAAAATTGACGGAAGAAAGTGTGATGGAGAATAATTTCTGATTTTTTTAGATAAAATGGGATTCGGAATGAGCGTTTTCTGTCCAACAACCTAATCAAACATAAGAATGACTTATTTGATTCCACGCCCTCCAACCAAACAGATCTTTCTTTTGATTTTCTTTGGTGATAGTCTGTTTGACGTAAATCATGAATTTAACGAGCTGCATCTGTTTCTTTTTTGTTGGTATAAATTTGTAGTCATTAATTTTTCCCCCCCTCTATTTGTTGGGGAAATGTATTTAACTTTGTGCAGTAGTGGATTTTACCATGACCCTAATGCTGGCTGGTACTATAGCAGCAGAGATTGTGCTTATTATAAATTTGAGGATGGGAATTATGTACTTTTAGATTCCAACAAGGTAGGTTTGGAGTTGGACTTCTGAATAATCCGTAGAACATTGATTTTTTTCACATATAAATTCTTAAATCAATCTCATTTTATGTTGGAAATTTAGTTTTATTGCATGTTATCTTAGGACGATAGTACAGACACATATCTGTGCAAGGAAACTACCACAGAAAATCCTCAACAGATTCATGATGGAAATAATAACGTGGATTATCCTTCCTTTCTTGAAAGTAAATCTGAAACTAACCAACAGACAGGAACCCTCGCTAATGAAGCACTTGATGGTAAGTAATATTAACCTGTTACTGTTTTTCTGTATTTGCATTAATTTCCGAGAATCATACTATAAAAAATAGTCTTTCCAACAATATTATATATAGTATGATGATGATAGGTCTGCAGTATGCAGGGACTAGGGGTTGCTGCCAAGTGCTGCCTTGTAATGTCCTTGATATTTGCACTTTGATTGTATTAATGTAATAGACAATTGAGTTTGTACTAGGTGTTTCAGATAAGCAGTAGTAGTTACTCTGAGTAACATAATTTATCGAAGTGTTTGTCTTTGAAATAGATGCCACAAATTCTGTGAGTAGTCCAACTTGTGAAAAGCCACCTCCACCACCATCAGAATGGTACCATGCACATCCTTATTATGTTGATGACTTTTACGTTCAAACTTTTCGAATGTAAATTAGTCATTCTGCGAACTAACAGGTTAGAGGATACGCTTATTGATCTTTACTTATCTGGCTACAAGAATATAGCAGTTGGTGAAGCTGATGCAGTGACAGTGCCACTGGAAACAGATGAGAGTTATAACTCGGTAGCAGCTGATGGTCTGTACACAACTTCTATAGTTTTTTGTTATTTGATTAACTAATACAGATGGTAAATGAATTTGTTTCCTGAATGTATAGCGTACAGCAAAACCTATGATGTGGAAGGTGATTGGATCCGAAACCAAGTGGGTGAAAATGGCTTAGCTGATGAGAAAAGTACTGTAGATGAAGGTATAGCTTATAGCAATACTTACGAACTGGAAGAGGGTGAGTGGATTCCGGACATGGAGGATGAATGTGACATAGATGATAGAAGTAATATAAATGAAGGTATTAACCACTGATTTGCATGCTCGTCTGCATCATCTGCATAATCATCTGAAAAGCAACAATAAATATTGTATTAAATGGGCTGAGTTGAACAAGGCTTTGCTATTGAAAAATCCCAAGTCTAACTTGCTATTTGTCAGACTTATTTAAGGCCTAGTTTGGTCAATTAACCAGTTTAAAGGCTGATTTCTCAATTAAGTGTGTTGAGATAGACTTGACCTATCTTTACAGGTATGTTGTTGGATGAAGAGAAATGGCGAGCTCAATATGGTCAAGTTACTGAATCAGTGAAAGAGTTGGTTTCAGATGTTCCAATAGTGGACTTGTGGGATTGGGAAATGGTTATGGGATCCAAAAGAGATGGAAAAGATAAAGTGACAAGGTTGGTTGGAAGATTGGTGAAACCATATGCAAAACAACATCCATCTATCCCTTCTGGTGGAGGAAAATTAAGATCTGCTCCCATCTGTGAAACACATCTTGATCTGGTACGAGTTAAAACAGGTTTGCATTTTACTCTTGTAGTTGTTAGTACTTATAGTACTTCATGTCATGAGATGTAACTATTATAAAAGTGGTAATAGAGATTTAATCATATGTAATACTTTCTTGCTTGTAAATCTTGCCTACAGAACCTGTCATAAATTTCATTTTGAAATCATAGAGGAGTGAGTAATTTTAAAATGAAGCACTACTGGAATTTTCAGTAAAATGGTAGTGCTATAAGTACTCCCTGTACTAAATACGATTGCTCATCATGTTCTTTTTATCAGGACAAGTGTACAGATTGCGAAATCCTAGTGCAAAATACGTGGCTTCATTATCAACTTATGATTCTTCCAATCCAACAAAACATTGGGATTTTCCCCAGATAACACCTAATCGAAAAATTATTCATCCCTCGAACTCCAGTGAAACCTCTGCTTCAGTTTTGGATGAAATCACTGTAGAGAAGGATTTGTCTGCGTTGCCAACTCAGCCCTCTGCTTCTAAGGTGTGTAATCTGATGCAGAAATCATACACATAGCTGCATTTTCTTTATCTTATAATAAATAAATGGATGCCCTACTTCTTGAGAAAGCACGTAGGATGACAGAAGTAGTATATGTAAAAAGTGACTGCTATGGCTTATAAACTTTTCCTTTCTCATGACTGCATGAAAAATCTTCAGTAAGAGTTGTGGGTTAGGGAAGTTGAAGGGATCAAATGCGGGTAGAGAGAATAGAACAACATAGAGAGACGGGCTCTAAGCTTGTCTTTTCCTTCTCCCATGATCATCCTTTGTATAGAACAGTTGACCACAATTAAGGATATCTCCAGAATCTGTTAACCTTCAGCTAAGTTTTTGTTTGCGCTGCCAGCAAATAAAACATCAATACAGAGATAGGGCTGCTGAAAGAAGAATATTGCATGGTGGCTTCGGCATGGGTCCAGGACAGAAGAATGTGCCAGATAATACGCCGACTTCACCCAATGATGGTTGTCCTCAAGAAGCTGCATCAGAGGCCTTGGAGATGTCATTTGGAGCAGGTAGTTATGCCAGAAAACTTCTAAAAAACATGGGTTGGAAAGAGGTATCTTCATACTTATTATCAATTTTTTTTTTTTTGAAGTCTTCAGAATTTTTAATATAATTACAGTTTTCCCTATGCCACAAACTTATAGCTCAAATGGCACCAAGCATGAGGAAGACGGTGTAATTGAATTTGATAATATAGAAGGTCTCATCCTATGGGTTTCCAATGAGCCGCACAACCCCCTATGCAAAAATAAAAGTTTAATTTTCATACACCCACAGGAAAAATATTTCCATAAAATAATCGTACTACTACTTGTTTAGGAACCATTCTCATCACACCTTTAAGCCATGAATAACAACGCCGAGTCCTATCACATATTTGTCGAATGGTTCGAGTTTATGCACGTTTATTTTTACAAGAAATTACGACCATTGTAGAATAACTGTTTTCTGTTTTGTATGATTGGTGCAGGGGGAAGGGCTTGGAAGTTCTACGAAGGGCATGGTGGAGCCTATTCAACCAGTTGGAAATGTTGGCACTGCAGGTTTGGGATGGTCGCGTTGAAACGGGCTCCCATGCTTAGCGTCGGTTATAGGGTCTAAAGAGAGCTATTTAGTGTCCATATCTTCAAATTTTATTTTGAAAGCTTACTTTTAAAAATACAAACCCAACTCCTTTGTAAACGCGTAATACCGTAAGTATTGAAATGTAGTGTACCATCTTCAACTACGAGGACTATATTTCCATTCAAAGCAGAAATATCCACACCGCTATAATATACAGTAGTAAAAAATAATTTTGTTTACTACAAAAAAAATTGTCATGTCAAGGTAGTTTGCAACATCCCAGCACTAGTGTCATTGTTGTCATTTCTGTTAATGCTGCATCTAACCTTCCATTCTCCAAGGTTTATTGAAGCTCGTGTTTTAGTCCTGATCCTTCTCCTCAAGTTTATCTTGTAACATCAAAACCTGCAATGAATCCACTTATACTTTGATTGTTTCAACATATTTACTGTTTATGAGGATGGAAGAGTGTTGATGTTTGTATCCACTAATTTGAGGAGAAAGATGAGGACAAATTTAAGAGAGTAGGGAAGAAGGGTTGCGTGTACATGAGGAGAAAAATGATAAAAGAAAGGGGAGGGAGAGTGAAGTTATACTCTTCTCCTTCTTTTAGAACCCATCAATAGTATAAGATTGCAACGTTCACGTGGTTCTGTGTATGCATGCAGTGATCTGAGAATCGTTTTAGAAGTTGGATGTATCTCTTTCATATAAGGAATCGTTACAATTAATCATAGTTCTCATATATAATTACAGTTATTTCTTTGTCTCAGCAAATGAGAGTGTCATTGAATATATCAGAGGGGTTTGTTGAGGTGAGTTAGGTGGTTCCTCTATAAGAGGTGAGTTGGTTGAGGTTGATTTGGTGCGAGAGATGCATTAATGGTAGTGTTTGGTTGAGGAATTGATTAAGAGAGGTGGAAATAATCACATAAAATTGATAATCGCATGTTTGAATTGATAGAGAATTTATTTTGACTTCTTTTGAACACATGCATGGAAAATCGATTCTCGCATGTTTGAATTAATGGAGAATTGATTTTCCTTTTTTTTAAACTTATGGAGAATTGATTTTTTATGGGAGCATAATCGTTTATCGATTCTTTTACAGGTAGGGAATTGATTCTTTGAAATTGGATATTATTTTTAATATTTGTTTATCGTACCTTAACACAAAGACATTCTTATATAATGAGGTAAAGTCTTAAATCATGCAAACTGATGAATGCATTTAAAATCTCTTATTTTTCATGCCATAATTTTAGATCAATAGATTCTACTGGTTTCTACAAACAACAACAAATAAGTTAGAAAAACTTATCCAATGATATTCAATTTATACTTACGTGACCAATATTTCTAAACATATATATCTAAGTGGGAAAAAGCATGATTATTTTACAACAAGATGAAAACAATTTTAGATAGTCTTTTTTTTTTTTTTTTTGAATTCTTTGCACTGATAGACTTATTATAATTAAGTGTCATATTGCTACTACCTTGTAAAAAATCTAAATTTTCATTTTTTAAATCTGAACCATGTGTATGTGATTTCACCGAAGTAGTATGGGAGAATCGATTCTCACCAATTGAGAATCAATTCTAATTCAACAAAAATCGGATTTTGAATATTTTAAAGAATAATATATTTATTAGTTTTACTTATATTTTTCACTAAATATAAAGAAAAAAACTACAAAACACCTATATTTAATTATTATTATTATAAATAATAAAATATATTTATTATATATAGTATTAATATTAATAAGAATATTATTTATTAGTGTATTCATAGATAAAAATTAATAATTTATAATTATCAATTATTTAAAATATTATATAATATATAAATATTTGATATAAATTTATAAGTTAATTGTAAAATATAATAGAATTTAAAATTTTAGTGCAGAAAATATGTAAATAGATAATACTAATAATATTATAAATATTGATTTTAATTTTAGAAAAAAATTAAAATATTATATAATATATAAATATTTGATATAAATTTATAAGTTAATTGTAAAATATAATAGAATTTAAAATTTTAGTGAAGAAAATATGTAAATTAGATAATACTAATAATATTATAAATATTGATTTTAATTTTAGAAAAAAATATTAGTAATATAATAATATTAATAATATCATTGTTGGTGTATTAGTATATGACAATAATAAAAAAGTAAGAATCTAAATTTATTATTTTTATAATGTATTTAATTTTATATTTATTTATCTTAAAATAAGAATCTTCCATGTTTCTTTTTAAAATGTATCATTTTCTACATCAAATCATACCAATCCAAACACAGGCGTTGGATATCCAAACATCAATTTGCATGTATTCACACCAACGGTACTTGTGACTATTCTTCCTAAATATCATGTTAGGATAATTTGGCAAATTTTCAACGCATTTATTCAGAGTAAGGTATCACTACGCAGAATCACGCAATCACCAAGTTTTTGGCTATGATGAATTTGCACCAAGTTTTTAGCTATAATGAATTTTCAACCATGAACATTCACAATAAATTTTGAATGAGCTAAAATAAATGAAGATATAATAAAATTTAAGGAATACGCACGTTTTTTTTTTCATATGCAAGAGGACCGAAAGTAAGATTAACATCTAGTCGAAATTCATATTTTATTAATAAATTTTACAATATCATATATATATATATATATATATATATATATATATATATATATATATAAGTTTAAATTTAAAGATTTAATCACAATTAATCAAATTTAATAAAATAATATTTTTATAATATAACAAATATATAATAAATTTTCATTAAGAATTTTCTTTTATAAAAAAATAATAAAAATTATTGTTACTATAACAATAAATTACAATAAAAATAAAAAATAAAAAATATATTAAAATACATAAAATAGATAATTGTTAAAATAAAATATAAAATATAATATAATAACTATTATTTAAAATTTATATTATATTTTTTATAAAAAAATTGAACTCATTTTTATTTTACTTTTTATTATAATCGGTTTGACTTAAATATCATATTAGTTTTTTTGGTTATATCATTTTTGTTCTGATTTTTTTTTCAATTTAATTAAGATCTGTTTATTTGACAATAATGGATAAATTCTTAAATTGATTTCTTATTGAATTGATTGAATTGGTCAGTCCAATTCGATTTAATATATATATATATATATATATATATATATATATATATATATATAATTTTTTAATAAAAGAATTTAGGGAAGATGATTATTTAGAGTGCGTTATGTTTTCAGCTTCCACCACTCTATAAATGATTGGAAATAAAAAGTATTACGTTATAATTTATTTATAGCTAAAAATAATTACATCTAATAATTAAAAAAAAGTTTAAGAACATCTTAAATTAAACTAAAAAATCTCTAATTTAAGCCTTTCTCAACAACTTCATTATTTCTAACCGGTTTTTCTTTATTGCTTCAGTGAGATCTCATTTGTTGTTTCCACCATCTATTCTTTCTTATATTCTTTCATTGCGCTCGTCTATTAGTTTCTTTGCATGTGCCTACATCATAAAATAATAAAAAAAAACAAAGATAGTTATTTGCAATAGTTGAAAAATGTTGCAGCAAACGTAGAAGTAAGGATGTATAGCTTTTATATCCATGTCAATGACATAATTGACAATTACATCACAATCCTACCTTTTCCTTTATTGTTTGGTTTTGGTTTTGGTTTTGGTTTTGGAAAGGTACGGGAGTCAACAACCCCTATTCTTTTTCATTGTCTCAACATTTGATGTCTCGTCAACAACACCCAGATGAGAAAGCCCTGGAAGTTGATGCAACTAAAACCCCAAAATATGTTTCATTCATGTCCTAATGGTCAGTTTCATCTTAAGGTTGATGAATAAAGGTTTTCTTACAATTTGTTGCATTGTAACCATGATATTTATTTAATATGTTTCTTTTCTAATAATTTATCTGTCGTTATAAGAATCTCCTGTACATGTGTTTATTCTTGAAAATAGTAAAATAAAGTTCTCATAATATCACATCATTATTAAATAATTTTTATTTCATTTTATTTTAATATTAAGAATTTTAAACAACTCTAAATAATTCATTATATTATATATATATTTTTTATATATTATTTTAATTTTTTTATAAAAATAAATATATTCATTAAATAATTAATTATTTTAATTAATAATACACTATCATATTTTAATATAAAAATAATATAAATATATAATATTTAAATAAATATAATGAAAATCAAATAACATAAAATTAATTTTCATTGTGCTCTCATCCAAATTTTTACCAAATATGTTATACTAAATCTACTTGAAGTTAATAGTGAATATTTTTATCTTGAACCGCTGCTCTTCTTTAAAAATATGAAGATATAAACTAGGATACGTACTTGAAGATATATCAATAGTTGACATGTCATTTTTTTAATATTATAATCAATATGATTTTGATAAGTGTGTCGTTCATCCTCAACAACAATATTGTGTAATATGATACATGTATAAATTATGTTCTTCAATGTATGAATATCCCAACAATATGTCGGACCACGTATAATTGCAAATCGAGATTGAAGGACTCTAAATATACGTTCAACATCCTTTCTTGTTGACTCTTTTTCACAAATGTGGAAAAATCTGGATAAATACCATATGCTAAGTTTTATCTCATATCATATTTCGCTTCATTCACAGTGTAGTGTACTGCAGATACAAAACCTAACATAATTTCATTAAACACATTAGATGCATTTAACACAGTAAAATCATTATTTGACGTTGCGATACAAAAAAATGCATGTCAAATCCACAAGTCTTGTGATGTCATAACTTTGAGAATGATTGTCGGGTTAGCATGATCACCTCGACAAAATTGACCTTCCATGCAATTGAACAATTTTTTCATTCCCAATGCATACAATCAATTGATCATAACGTACCTGGAAAGCTACATGTGACTCCCATTTGTAGTAATCAATCAATGTCTTTGTTATTACACCTCCTTAAATACTCATTTCCAAATAGTGCACAAATGTCCAATACAAATCATTTTAAGCATCTACTACAATGCTTTCAACAATTCGAATATATTAATCCACACTATCAACAGGTGAGTCATAAGCCAATATGCGAATAATAGCAATGCACTTTTGCAAAGGTGATAGGTCTCTTCTTCGTGTTGCATATAACCTCAGTGTAAAATAATCATCATGATTGCCAAGGGCTTCCACAATTTTGACAAAAACCTCCCTTCTCATACGGAACCTTCTTCGAAATTAAGATTCTGTATATACTAGATTTTCAACAAAATAATCATTGAACAATTGATGATGACATTCTTCATGATTTCGATGAACTACCTTTTTTTTGTGACCACCATTATTGTCGACTTATTGTTGGTACTCAAGTAATAACTGCATGATTTCTTCATCATGGTTATCTTCGAGTTCTTCATCTATTATTTGATCCAAAAATGCATTTAAATCAATGTTTTCAAATGTCATTGTATGGATAATTAAAGTGTTTAAAACTTGAGACAGTGCATGGCATTTCATAACTATATATAAATTCATAATAACTAGTTTTACAACAACTAGTTTTCACAACAACTAGTTTTCACAATGACTAATTTTCACGATAACTACTTTTCATTTCATAATGACTAATACATTTTTCAAAAAAATACAATTAATTATCATAATGACTAATATATTTAAAATCCTCATTTTTGCCTAAAAAAGTTACAATATTTTTCATGATCTTCACATTACTTCTCAAAAATGTTAGTTGTGTCCTTCATGAGAATTTCATACTCCAAATGCATTTTTTGTGACATCTTTAACTCAATCAATTCATTAAACTTTGTATTTTTTTCTTTATTGCATTTTCTATGTCAGATAAATCAATATGGGAAGCACTTGCACTGGCTTTTCCTTTGCTCTTTCTCTTGGTTGCCTTTTGTCCTATGGGGTGAGATATTAGTGATGTTATGTCACTTTTTTCAACTTTGTGCGGTGTCTCTAGGTTAGAAGATGATGAGTATGCACCTAAAGTAAAAATATTGCATCTTTTTAAAGAATCGTCCATAAATGTTGATTGTCATTCTATTAAAAACAACTAAGCATGTTTATATTCAATTTTTTTTCCCTTTCAAATCTTTTGGGAAAATCTTATGTGCGAATGACATAACATCTTTCTTGGTCCAACCATTTTTTTTATCGGTAGCTTGTTTGTAGCATGCATTACATTTTTTAACTACGGGTGAAATTTACTCCATTGAGATTTTAATTGACTCATTGACCTTTTTGTGAAAATGCTATGTTCATCGTCATTGTTGTATGCTTCTTTGATATGCTCCCAATATTAGGTTAATGACGGATTAACTCCAACAATTGGATCTTTCAACATATTCAATCATGATTGAATTAGAATCATATCCTCTAGTATTGAGAATGTTACATGATGTTTCCTCTGAGACATATTTTCACCATTTTTGCAAGTTGGATATTATCGAGTCCGACCGAAGAATAAAGATCTATGTTGGATGAAGGAGGAGTGTTACTCATATTTGATGTCATCGAGACGTAGTGGAAACATAAAAAATGATAGTGGATAAATATAATTTTAAAATTTTTGATAATTTTCACTTGTAAAAGTTGAATAATTTTGCAATAAATTTTAATAATGTTGAAAATACAAGGATATAATGACTAAAGATTTTGATGATGATTCAAGAACAAAAGAGTTCAAGATTAGAAGACTTATATTCAGTTGAAATTGCTTATAATAACTCTGTTTTGTCTTCTTAAGTCTATAAAAATAGAGTATGTAAAAATAGAGTCCATGATAGCCAACACTTGTCTGTCCACAAAAGCTTCATTTTTATCAGGGACACACTGGAATAATCAATTATTGCTGATGATAATCGATTATCCTGTTTAAACTTCAAGTTTTCTGGAAGTCACACTGGAATAATCGATTATCACCTGTTGATAATTGATTATCTCTGGCTGTTAAGGGTCAAAATTCGAAATTAGTTCTGTGATAATTGATTATCCTGTGTAAAACCGATTTTCCTATATCTGGCTCTGTGATAATCGATTATCACTTATAATAATTGATTGTTTGTGTCAGTTATAAATTTGAATTTTGAATTTTGACCTAATTTTCGAAAATCCCCAAAATTGAAAACCCTAAAACTCTATTTAAAGAACTCTTATGCTCTTTACTAGATGACAAACCTTTTTCATACTCAGAAAAGTTAAGAGTTGTGATTGCTGGGAGAAATTTGAGTAGGAAAGAAAAAGGGTTTGAAAACCTAGTGTGGGCTAGAAGCGATAAGAATCATTGAGTAGGATTCTCAGTGGATTGAGTGTTGTGTCGTCTCTAAGAAATTTGTCTTCATCCTTTGTGATTTCAAAGGAGGTGTTCATCTCTTGTGTGACTCAAGAGAGGTGTTTTCTA